AAAACCTCTTCTTTGCTTCTTAGGTTGTTTGTCTGTGGGCTTTTGTTGGGGGGAGGGGTTGTTGGTTTGTTTGTTTTTTGGTTGGTTGGTTTTTATTTTTTGTTTTGGCATTTTTCGGTGTTTGTTTTTTTTTTTTTTTTTTTTTTTTTTTTGCAGGGTGGGTGGTGGATGGGGGGTGGGGGGGTCTCAATGATTAGGAATGTCTGAGCTAATTTCAGGCCCCTTTTGTTAGTTTTGTATTCCACCCCCCAATACACACTCTGATGGAATGAGGAGATAGGCAGAGAGGAAGGCCCTTGAACAATCCCCAGTGCATTCACACCATCTTGGAGCTGGCTGCTGGGCTCTGGCCCCTCCTCCACCCCACCCACCACCCACCAGCCCCCGGGGCCAGAATCAATCCTCAGGCCTCACCTATCCCGCCTGAAGTGCCGATGCGGATGATGGTGACGTTGGAGCATCTGGCGTGGTACAGCAACTTGATGAGCTCATGCAACATGATCCCGATGGAAGGAATGCCCATGCCATGCTGAAACCAGAGAGAAATGCAGCGGCTCAGCCCAACATTGTGCCTTCATCAACGCATGCAGAAGTCCCTCCAAACAAAGGACTCACTCACCCTGCATTTCAAGTCGTCCAAAGACAACAAAGCTTTGCACAGAATGAGACTGAGAGGGAGAACATTCACATAACTCATTATATTATACAGTTACAATTATTCTGCTGTATCAGTCATTATTGCCACTCTTTTGCTATACCTGGTTCACAACTAAAATGCATCATAGGCTTGTGTCTATAAAAGGAGTGCTATTTGTATTGCTCAGTTTTGTTATACTGCTGCCTTGAGACATCCTTTGGAACAAAGCCCGTGTGGGGAAGGAGATTACTGCATGTTTGATGTGGTGTACTTCCACTAATAAAATCATCATGTGGAAATGGACAGGCTTCAAGTATTAACAGAGCTGTCCTACACATGACCTGCCTCACTTGACTCACAGGGCCTTCAGAGCAGGAGGAAGTAGCTGCTATTGCCAAGTAGCAAACACTGCTTCCTGACAGTTGAAGCCATGCACAAAGGCCTGCCATACTGGATAAGGTTTGATCACTGCACTTTTCTCTTGCCCTCTCCAGTTTAACAAAACAAGGCAACTGGCTGGTTCCTCAATCCCCGACATCAGGCACTCTACTGACTATGTTTGTGCCATGGCCATAGCCTCCTTACCTCTGCAATGCAACCCCACTCTACACGCCTTTCAAAGACCCTCCCACACTCACATCTCCTATCCCCGGGCGGGTGCTGTCCCTATGGCAGAGCCCTGCAGCAAAGGGACCCCTTTCAGAATGTCAAACCCTGGAAATGCTTCCACAAGATGCCTTTGCTATCAGGTGATTCTACATGACAGATACGCTTGGAGGTCTAGCTGACTAGTGTCAAGACACACATCTCAATTGGAAGGGGATCCACCACTGAGCTGTAGTTCTTCATTATATTATTGCCAAAGGAAATCAAATGTTAGAAAACGATCCCTTAGATAGGATACTGGAGATTTTTCTGTATTCACTTTTATTGATCACACAACCTGTGTTATAAAGCAGGCCAGTCACTGTGAGATAGGAGAGGCATGGAGACCTGGCATGTGGCTCTTCTTACAGCCCTGGGCCAGGCAGGGAAGCCCTCCTCAGCACCTGCCACCCCTACACAGAGTGAACAGCAGCGCATATTTACATGTGTATCTGCTTTTATATACCGAGGCTCTCCAGGAAGCTAAGCCTTAAGGGCTGGAGCCTAGGACTTACTCATGCCCAGATCCCAGCTGCTGGGAGCTCACCATGCTCCCAGCCAATTACAGTAAACAAATGATAGGGTGCCAGCTGTCCAACTGTTCACACACAAAGGAAGAAGTGTGGGCACAAGGCCTTGCAGAACGTGGAGACCAAATCCAAGTGAAAAGCAAGTACTCACGCTCACAGACAGCACAGGTCCGACTTTATACATGGCGTAGCGGTCAGTGCCTACACAGATGTTGGGGTACTCTTTCCCTGGATGGTCAAGGCCCAGCTCGGCAGCCACATACCTGATGAAGGCACTCATCCGGGAAGGGCTTCCACCAACACACACGAACTGAAACCAGAGAATCGGGACCTCGTCAATACATGGCGTCACTAGAGGTCTTCAAATCGCCCATCAACACTGGGGTCTTCTGGGAACTTTCTAGCAAGTTTTCAGGCCTGACCTGTACTAAGTGTAGCTAAGGCAGTGATCAACCAGCTTCCCTGGGGAGTTTTTAGTAGCACTGGTCTGGGACTGACTGCTCAGTACAGACAGGCACCCTGAGCACAGTACAGTCAACTCCACACACGCAGGGACCCAGACTCTTGCTGTCTTTGAAAAGGCAACAGGCACCATACTTGGTCTTACACGCCAGATGGGAGGCAGTCTAGGGTGCTGGAAGGGAATTTGGGTTTAGATTGAGATGGCTGGAACACCTCACCTCAGGTGACCAGAGTCCTATGACCCAGTGTTAGAATGGGCCACCAATCACTCTCCCACTTGGTCACCTGAGTGGCAAAGACTAACAGGCCAGTAGGGGGTGGGGCATTTGTAGGTGGAGGAAACACTTTATTTTGCTAAAGAATGGTAAATAGTGAAAAGGTGATTTAATGGACTCTGAAGATAAAAGACATAAATGCAGCTCTAAATATGAAAGGACATTTCCATGGCCTGCAATAAAAAGAATAGATTAGCAATATTGGGATTGATGGAAAGTCAATGAATTCATGAAACATGAAAGCTGCCCACCATTTGCTCCCAAAGATGAGTTCTACCTACGGCAGATGGGGCCCAGCTTCGGTGTTCTGAGCCTATCTTGGTTTTTAATTCAGTGTGTTAATTCATCTTTATCAAGATTAGACACTAAAGAGTCCTGTTTTAGTAGTATGGAAACTATAGTTAACACAACTGTAACTGTAAACTGCAAGACAGCCAGTAGATAGGACCCTGAGTGTTCTGAACCCGAAGAACGATCCGTGCCTGAGCTGTGAACGTGGTGCCGCCCACTCTGCTTGTCACTTCACATCACAGACATGAACTGAAGCGTCACCCTGTTCCTTGAAACAATGCACACATACGTAGGTGTCAATTAGAAACAAATCTTAACAAGGAATTTTATAAAAACTTCGGAAAATTAGCACTGAGAAATGAACACTTTGTATGGGAGGTGTCATCATCAAAATTATCCCTCAGATATCATCAATATACACCTTCAACTACAAGCAGTGATCATGCAGACTCTCCATACTGACACTGTACCTCTTGGAAGTCCTCCCCAGCTCTCTACATTGTCTAGGCTGCCAGCAAACTCCTGAGATGAGGACTCCTGCCTCAGTCTTTGGAGTTGCAGCGACTCTAGGCATAGGCCACCTTGTATGGCTCAGGTGAGTCACATGCTGTTCACTTACATATGAAAATTCTAGGAGAGCCGGGAGATGGTGGCGCACGCCTTTAATCCCAGCACTCGGGAGTCAGAGCCAGGTGGATGGATCTCTGTAAGTTCGAGACCAGCCTGGGCTACAGAGTGAGTTCCAGGAAATGATCCAAAACTACACAAAGAAACCCTGTCTCGAAAAACTAAAACAAACAAACAAACAAAAAGTTTTAAGAGATGAAGTAGAGGCCTACAGAGCAGTAGTTAACACTTATTTTCTTTGACTTGCTAGTTCCTATAAATAAAAGTCTGATAAAGATAGAATGTGGTCCTTCCCCTTGTCGATCATCTGCAAGGAGGTGAGCTGCACCAAAGTGGAAGCTAACGGTAAGACAATGCATAGAATCAAAGCCTGGGCTTTTTACCTTCACATCTCCAAACATAGCAGGGAAATCATGTGTGCTCGTGCTGAGGTTGAAATGGTACAGAACGTCTTCCTTCATTGTTGCGATGTTTGGATTTGAAAGTTGAATGAAGCAGTCACTGGTAGAAATAAAAAGTGAAAGGTTTATAGAACACAGGTGTGCCATGGGCAGCATTACCACAGCCATGTTCCATATTCAGGAGGTATGTGAGGGACATGACGGGGAAGAGGCACAAGCAGATGCTAGCGGGAAGATAACCCTACATTGCCAAGGTCTCTACCTCCCTTTCTCCTTCCTTTTAACCCCTCTTTGCTCCTAGAGCACTGTTTGAAGGCAATCAGCAAAATTTCAGAAGAGCAAACAATACTATAAAAATCAAATTGATAAATGATCCAACACAAAGATTGCTATTTGATATCCAAGTCATTTATATTCAATACATAGACTTGAATGTTTTGAAAATAATATGATCACTATTGGAAATATAGACAGAAATAGAAAAAGTCTCCACTATTGCCAAAACCTTTCCAACCTGAGTGCCTATAATTTCTTTTGTGTTGTGTTGCATTAGCTACCACTTCTCAGAACCGCGACACTAAGAATGTCATGAAGGGATGAAGAAATGGCTCAATGGTTTAGAGCAGTTGTTCTTGCAGGAGGACCAGAGTTCCAGGCCCAGCACTCACATGGTGGCTCACAACCATCTGCTACTCCAGTTCCAGGGAATCCACCACCCTCTTCTGGCCTCTAATGGTCACATACGTGCATGCAGGCAAAACCCAAAGTAAACCTTAATTTTTTTTTTCTTAAAAAGATTGTCATGATATAACATCCTACCATTTAGCATTTCTGAAGGCAACTGGCAACATTTTTGTATGTGGTTCAAATGACATCTACAGGCTAACACATGCTTCTGCTCTAAAGGAAGGAAGGTTGGCAGACTTTATTTCAGGAGGCCAGATGGTACATATGGTTATAGGCCATTATGTTTCCATCACAAGTCTGCCCCTTGTCTCCTGGAAGCAACAGAGACAAGGAGGGCAAACACATGCTCTTATACTTCATTCAACTTTGATTTGCAAACACAAGCACCTGAAGACGAGGTCATTCGAGCTCGACCCTGGCCAAGCTTCCTCAGAGCCACTCTTCACCAGAGCTGCCTCAACAGTACATGCCTTCTGATTTCCAAATAGGTTCTCCTTGGCAGGATGAAGACCAGTGTAGGGCCTTGAATATGGAGCAATCATGAGTACTGTTCCTTCCCTCTGAGTCTGACTTTCTGCCCAGAACCAACTAGTGACACTTTCTCTTCAATCTAACTCATGAGAAAAAGGTGAGAAAGTAATGATCCAGAGATCACTGCAATATAGAAATACTGATGATCTTGACTTACAATGATTGAAAATGCTGTGTGTTGACTTGAGTATGGACTTTTCCCCTGAAAAGTGCTGCCAAGCCGTTGGGGGAGTTCACTGTACTAAGTCAAGGCCATGATGGATTTGTGGGGATGGAACCCTGCTGTAAGCCAAGGGGATCTGTGCTACTTCAAAAAGGGCTTTTGCCCTCCTTCCAGAGCATTCTCCCCTGTTTTGTTCACTAATTTATTTTTTTTCTGGAGATAGGACTTAACTTTTTCCAGATTGGCCTCAACTTGCTATATAGCCTTGAACTTCTTATCTTCCTGCCTCTCCCTCCTCAGTGCTGGATTATACATGCCACTGTGCCCATCTTATGTAGTGTTAGTGACAGAACCCCTGGAGTATGAGGCAAGCAAGCCACTCCCTCAGCTCCTATTTCTTTTTCTTTAGACAGGCTGCATGTTGTAGGCCATCTGGCCTTGAGCTCAGTACACCTGCCTTGACCTCCTGAGTGCTGGGATTACAGGCATATGCAATGAATCTGGCTATCTACATTTTGACTTTAGAAATATTTATACAATTAACCTAATTATAATGATCAAAATCAAAATCTCCTGAAGGCTATGCCATGTCTTCTCTCTCTCTCTCTCTCTCTCTCTCTCTCTCTCTCTCTCTCTCTCTCACACACACACACACACACACACACACACACACACACACACACAGATGCACAAAGTTGAAGGCTGAATCAGACCTGTTCTGACTGATTTACTTCCTCAAGTCCCCACTGTTTTTTTTTTTGTTTGTTTGTTTTTTGTTTTTTGTTTTTGTTTTTTTCTGGTAGTCAACCTCAAGGGCAGATACTGAAGACTCCCTCTTCTCCCTTGGCCATCTCTGCCCCCTTCCATGTTTCTCAAGCCCTCTCTAGTCTATCCCCCTAGAGTAGTGTCCAGACACATGAAACTTTCAGATTGCTATATAAAAGATAAGCGGTAGACAGGCCCAGCGGCGGAGACAAGCAGACGCAGGTAGGCCTGCGGCGGCAGCCCGCAGAGATAGATGGGTCCAGCAACAGTGACAAGAAGAGGTAGGTAGGCCCGCGGTGGCAGCCGGCAGAGACATACAGGCCTGGCGGTGGCCCGCAGAGGCAGACAGACCCAGCGGCAGCTGACATGGACATACAGGCCCAGCGACGGACCACAGAGGTAGACAGGCCCAGGGACGGAGACAAGCAGACGCAGCTTGGAACAGGGACACCTCTAACCCCAACACCTGGGGAAGAAGCTATCTCCGTGGGACGGAACCAGAACGAATCTGAACACTCCATCTGAGGACAACCCAGGGCCCAGCTGCTGATCCTGTGAAACCCAACAACTTGGAGGTGTTGGTGAGACTACCCTGCTCAGCTGAAACCCATCTGGGAGAGGATTCAG